AAAAAAAAAAAAAGGAGTATGTCCCTTGGACCCTGAGATCTATGGGCTGAACTTCCTTGAGAAAGAGGGGGAGCTGTGACTGCAGAGATGGAGAGGGACGAGAGAGAAATGACAAGTGGTGGCAGCACTGGCACTAACACCAAGAACAAGAGGCAGAGAAGCAAACTTCCCAGACCAGAGTGAATAAACTTGCTGGCAGAAGGGGTTGCCTCCAGGTACCTAATCTGGGGAGCTAGGTGTGCTTGACTCATGGAGCGAAGTGCCCTTGGGTTGATTCTTGGCAGCATTAAAGGAGCTTTATGACATTTCCCCAGGTAAGACAGAGGCCAAGGGGAGTGGGTTATGCCTGTAGGCACAGCTGAGAAGCCCGCTTGACCAGAGAACTGCTCTTTCTGATCCTCAATTGTAACCTGTTGCCTTCCCTAATAAGCCTCATAATCATAAGTATTGTCTGTGAGTTCTGTGTCAGCAGAGAAGCAGAGCACTAGTGGAAGAGATGGTGGGTTCCTCCTAGGAATCAGTCTTGGATTGACGTAGAATTGGGTCCTCCATCCCCTTGTGTAGTCAGAGGGCAGACATCACCCCCTCGCTATTCTGAGAGAGAGAGAGAGAGAGAGATTTCTCTTACCTCATTTATCCTACAGGACCTTATATGATATACCATAAATTTAGTACCATCAAATCCCAACTCCCAAGATTGGGCAACACAAATATACACAGTATTGCTTTGAATCAATTATCTGAAGAGTCAAAAGTGATCAACTGAGAGAAAATATCAAAGGTACTGTGGGATGAAGTGAAGGACATTCTTTCCTCGATGCTTAACTTCCTGTGTCCAGCCCCTGGATGTTTAAAAGACCCTGAAATAAAAGGTTCAGGAATGTCAAAGGACGAAAGCATCCAGGGAGAAAAATCAAAGCAGGAGAAAGCATGGGGTTCTCTTCAGTCCTCCTGAGAGGCAAGGGACCAGACCATGAGATGCCACCAAGACTAACCTCATCCTCCCACGCTGACAGTAACTCAGAGGACCTTGGAAATCTGGGAAGGGGCTGCCACCTAGACCCTTGGCCTCCTTCCTGAAGAGGTTCCTCCCCAGATCAATCAGCCTCTGGGGGTGTTTTATACACAGCTCATTCTCTCTGGTCCCCAAGCTGGTGACTCAAAGGAAGAAAAGCAAAGATGCAACCCGAGTGATTCATCTTCATATCATATGACTCTCTCCACAGCCAACGCAAGCTCGTCCTGGTCACAAGATATTTCTGTGTGGGCGTCACTTCCTGAATGGCAGGTCAGAGCAGAAGGCATACACTTGCTGGGTCCTTCAAGATGTCTTACAAGGAAGGATCTGAGGGAGCTGAACTTCCCTCCTCCCAACAAAAACAATTCATTTATTTCTAAAGATAAACTTACTTGTTAAATAATCTTAATAAATTTAACTGTTCACTGGGAAAAGTAAATTGCATGTATTCTTATTCATAATTCTTCAGAATGGTTTTCTTTTCCAAAGAAGCTAGCAAGAGGGTTAACCACCTCCCTGCCTCTGTGTCCCGGTCTAGCAACCTGGCAGCACAAGCAGCCAGCTGCCACTCAGAGGAAGACAGACAAGTACATCTAACTGTGGGCTCACAGGGCATGAGGCACAGCCCAGAACCGAATGGTCCGTATAACCGAGGCACACAGTGGAGTTTACTAAGTTAGGGCCCCAGATGAAAAGGGGCCCAAGATGTCCCTAACTCTTGCCGGGGCTGCAAAACACCAGGCCTGGGGCTTAAATACGTCCACGTAAAGAAAGCAGAACTTAATGATCAAGACTGACTTCTGCAATGTCCCAATTTCTTCCAACCATCAGGAGCATTTCCCATCGACTCAGAAGCAGTGCAATCACGGTTACTAAGGCAATCACAGTGTTACAGGGGACGTTTCCTTAGAGAGCACTGTCTAGACAACTGGGGGAAGGGTAGATGGGGAGGATGGAGGAAAGTGGTGGAGCCCAGATGTCTAAGGAGGATGGGCTCTGGGCTGGTACTGTGTAGATGGGAAGAAAGGGGACAGGGCTAAGGAACTTGTCTTAGAGCTACAATTGCAGAGCAAGCATATGTTTTACTTAGACTGCTATTTGGTCGGGTTAAAGCCCACTCGTGTTGCTTCTGGGTGCAAACCACCAACATGAAGAAAGGACAGACAGACAAGTGCCTGTCAAGACGGTTAGGTCTCAGTTCCACGCAATTCTGTTAACATTTGCTCAGTCCCTAGTTTGCACAGTTGGAAAGTTCCAAGATAAGAGACATCAAACAGGTTCTGGCGTCATTCCAAAAGCTTGTGTTGCCATCACGTGTTACTGAATAACCAACAACATTCTCCTCAGCTTACGGGGCATGGTTCACAGAACGCTCCAGTTGACCTCAGAGCAGATTTGATGCTTCTGCTCTGTCGCCTAAGTTGTGGCAGAGTTGCTGGGGTCTTAAAACTTAGAAAGTTCCCGCTGGGAACACTAGGGAGGGTCAGAAATCGGTGGAGGGGCTGAAGCAGGGGTCCAATTGCCTTCAGGAACAACTGCCTTGTAGCATGACATCAGAACTGGATGGTGCCCAGCTAGATTATGATTGGCCCGAGGGCAAGGGTCCTACCGAAGAACTGAGAAGATGAAAAGGGGGGAAGGAACCTTATTCGTCTAGTTTGAGTTCCTTTGTTCCATCCAGGAGAAAGTCTCAAGTGTGGTGTTCATGTTTTTAGAAGAACACCCACTTTCAGAGCCTTCTTTTAACCAAGGCGGTGAGCGCACAGGGAGCTGAGGAGCTGGAGGCCCAAGAAGGTGGGGATAAGATGAGAACTGCAGAGGAAGCAAGATGGCAGGACCGGCTGATGTCAGGACCCACGAGGAGCAATTCCAGGATCCTGAGGGCTTCACGCGGAAAGGGGTCCTTTCCCTCGAGGAACCTAAGCCGAGACCGCTGATGAGGTCGCCACGTTGCACTAACCACAATCTGCAAAAATGACCTTGAAGAACGAAGTCTGGTATTGGGGTTAAGTTTGGTGAACAGGACATTTGGGACCTTACAACTGAGGAGACTGACAGTTCCCCAACTTTAGGTCTCAAGACCCCATCTTACACTTAAAAACTAAGCCTGTGTTCATGTGAGAGAAACCTCTAATTGCTGTATGTTAGAAATGGTAACTGGTGACAAAATAATAATTTACAAATTATCAAGGATTCATGGGGAAGAGGGGAGCTGGGAGGGAGGGGGGAAAATGAGCTGATACCAAGGGCTCAAGTAGAAAGCAAATGTTTTGAGAATGATGATGGCAACAAATGTACAAATGTGTTTGAAACAATGGATATATGTATGGATTGTGATAAGAGTTGTACGAGCCCCCAATAAAATGATTAAATGAAAAAAAGAAAAGAAACAATAACTGGAAAACTAGAACTATTTACTCACATGAAAATAAAAATAAGCCCATTTACATGGTAGCAGACATAACACATATTAATGACAGTCATTATCTCCCCCAAAATGTTATTAATAGAAGACAGCAATATACTCGCATCTGCATCAGCATGCCCTGTTTCAGTATCACACATGATGTAGCCTCTGTACACTCTTTAAAAGAAGGAAAGCCAGTCAATAAAGTCTTACTGCATTATTAAGATCATGTTGGCATTGCAGACCCTTGGAGAGACACTGTGGGTTAACCACCCAAGTGTGCAGTTGAAACCTGCCAGCCGCTCCCTCCCCAGAGTCAGCAGTGGGTTGGGTTTGAGGGTGTGGACCCATGGCTGGGTCTCGGGCCTTCCAAGGGCTCCCTGGACTCCACATCTAGCAATGCTGTACGAAACCGAGGTTGGAGGAAATCCCCCCCCATCCTTGGCCCGGCCATGAGGAGCCCTGGCAGTGCTCATGCAGTGGGCTGCT